AGGGACCCAAGATAATAGCAGTGGTTTATAAAGTTCTCTCCACACTCAACAGAAGAGGACCAAGGAATGAGTATGAGGAGTAAAACAGTCATAATACAAATTCTAGAAAAAACAACAGCATGGAGACCAAATAAGACCAAAGCACAGTTACTGATTGCAGGAGATTTCAGCCACATGGAAACAAACTGGAAGAATTGGTATCCACATGGATGGCCACAACACAGATAACACAGAGTAATAGAAAATTTCATGCCCCAATATATAAAAAAATTACAAGAGCGAGGGTAGGGAAGGAACCAGCTAGACTTAACCGGGTTTCCAGCTTAAGGTAATCTAATACAGACGAAATTAAATATGGACTACCACTAGGAGCTAGCGACCACATAGTCAGATTTGAATACTTGATAGCAGTGAGAGCCGAGAAGAAAATAAAGAGGCATAAATTACAGAATAAGGTACAATGCAGGGGTGTGAGAGTTTGTAGATATTATTATTATTATAATCAAGGGGGAAGCGCTAAACCCGGAGGATTATACAGCGCCTAGGGGGGGATGTGGAATGCATTCAGGCTTAATTCGGGGAACTGGAGCACAGATCCAATTCCCTAAATCAAGAGCCCCTCACCATCAAGGAACCTTCCTTGACTTTGTAGATAGAACTCAGTGGAACAGAGAACTGACTGGAGGGACAACTACAAGATGACTGAAGTCATCGCCAGGAAGTGCCTAGACGTTACAGCAAGATTCCTGAATAGGTGAAAAAAGTCAAGTCTTTGGTTTGAACAGAACACCAGAGAAGCCAAACGGTGGAGCAAAAGAAAACAACATAAAACAACATTACACAGGTAATGTCAGAGAATAAGGAAACAAGCAGAACAGTGAGGAATGACTGTGCAAAGATATGAAGAGAAGCAGAATGTTAAATTGACAGAGACATGGCTGCAAAATTCAAATCATGGCCAAAACTACTACACAGCCACCTAAGGAGGCAGATAATCGTGAAAGACCAAGTAATACGGGTGTAGAGGGAGGGAGGGGTGCTCACGGAAGAAGAGAGAGAAGTTTGCGGAAAATTAAATACATTGAGAGAATCTGGATGAGGCCAGAATGCAGGGCTGCAAGTGCAAATCATATTTCGGATAGGATATATTTATCAAACGAGGAAGTCATGAAACTGCTAAAAAAGTTAAACACACTAAGCGCCATCAGACCTGACTGCATATAACCATGGATATTGAGAAGAGGAACGGAAGAACTGTGTAAAGGCTGATATATCAGACTGGAAAAGTGCAAGAAGTGGAGTTCTGCAAGGTTCATTCCTAGGACCTTTATTATTAACATACGTTCTTGATCTGACAGAAGGAATTGATTCATGTTTCATTGAGCGCCGATGATAGTAAAACTAATGAGAATAATACAAAAATAAATAACAAAAAGGCACAATACCGTGACTGGAACAATACACAAATAACCCGCACATAAAAGAGAGAAGCTACGACGACGTTTCGGTCCGACTTGGACCATTGACAAAGTCAATGTGTGAGAATAATACAAATGGAATATGATGGAGACAGGCTGCAGGTATACTTGGAGAAACGGTGAGAATAGTTATGCAAGTGTTTGCCGGCGTTAAGTCTAGGCATGTGCAAGATCATGAAAACTGGGAATATAGAGATAACCAACCACGGAATACAGCTTGAAAGGACGGGAACTGCAAACATCACTCAAGGAGCAGCTTGCAATAAACATCACACCCAATATCATATTGCCAGAGGCCATTTTTCAAAACATTGCTCCAGTCTCAGGGTTGTTAATAAATGGGACGAGCTAGATGAGGAATTGATAGACGCAACTCATTACACAGTTTGAAGTGTAAGTATGCAAGCTCCCATGAGGCCAGGGAACAATAAGGCTGGTGAATGTGGTTCAAAGGAGGGGCTAGAAGCTGCGAATCGACCCATTCAATCACAACTCGGTAAGTACAACTTAGTGAGTTCACACACACACACACACACACACACACATTTAAACCTAAAGACATGACCATAAAAGAACAAAAGTTGAAATGGTTACGAGGTTTATAATACTGAGAGGAATTGACAGGGTGGAGAGGATTTCTTTAGCCTAAGAGTGGATAGGAAGTGCAAGGGCCTAGATATTCACGTGGTCGAGGCAGAATCCTTACATAACGTTAAGAATAGGTAGGATATGGCTCACACAGTCGAGTGCGAAACCAATAAAGGCCAGCAAAGAGGAGCTAAGACTCGATCATGGCAACAATAGTCATGTGAGTACACGCACAAACTACAAGCATGCGACCTTATATTTTATATTACATATATAATATAGGAAGTAAAACCTCTGGAACAGAGAAAAGACTGAACTTCACGGAAAACTCAAAGTTCTCCCCGGAGCTGTTTGAAAATTTTCTCCTACCACCCCCTATATTCTATATTGACTTTATTTAAAGATACAACCCATTGACATATATAATATATATATATATATATATATATATATATATATATATATATATATATATATATATATATATATATATAAAACATACATGTCTCTATACATATAGAGAATGGGAGAATGTGTGTTTGTAAGTCACCATGTAAGGAGAGAGAGAGAGACAGAGAGAGAAAGCAAGGAACAGCAACAACCAGGGTTCTCCTATTTGCCCTCGCCATTAGTTCCGCTGCTTGCTGCTCTAGTTGCTGTTATCCTGGCTGCTGTAGAGTTGCTGCTGTGTGTCCCTTGCTGTTGTTAATGTGACTACTGCTACTGTTGCCCTCACCCGGGCAAGCGATGGTATTGTTATTGGTGTGCGTGTGCGTGTACTCAATTATATGTGGTTGCAAGGTTCGAGTCACAGCTCCTGGCTCCTTTGTGTGTGCGTGTGTGTACATATAGGTGTGCTCACCCATATGTGGCTGTAGGGTTCGATTCTCTGCTCATGGACCTGCCTCTTCGATGGTCGCCATTAGGTTCACTCTCTTCTGGCTTCGAGAGCTTTATCGTACATCTTTTTAAAGCTGTATAAGGGTCAAGTGTGTGTGTGTGTGTGTGATTACCCATATGAAATGGTTTAATTATGCAATCATTCTAATATCATTAGTCATTCTATCATATAATTATTATCTATAATATCACTTACTACGTCCTCCTCTAATTTATTTCTCTGTTCCATTCCCTTGTGAAATGTTTTCTAAGAGATATTCAGCTCCAGTTCTTCTCAATTTACAACTACTGAAAGTTACCTTCCCAAAAAAATATTCTATATCTATTCTTTCTTATCCTTTTTATAACCTAATATGTGCTTATCATATCTTCCATTTTTATTTGTCCTATCAGATAGTTATCATGGGCCTTTTGTTTATAAACAACTTTTTGTATATATTTTGCTTTTAGCCCAAGGAGCCTTCTAGATGTTCTCAGTCTTCTATATGATCGACATTTATATTCCAGTTTTGGTTTAATATATATTATAGAAAGTTTGTTTCTTCAGAGTCTCTCCATCTATATATATGAAAGCCATTATTTTTAGCTTGCCAGTGAAGGTCACGAGTTTCTGGCAATTCCAGTTTTATGATCTCTCAGTGACAATGTTTTTTGCATACTTACTCGACGGTCACTCACTCTGGTACCTTCAATATTCTTGTTTCACGATACATTGTCTTCAAGTAGCCTAATTTCTATTTCTCCCAGTTTTGTTAAAGGGAAAAAAATATTTTCACTCAAATATCACAATCCATCTCTTAATTTATTTTCCCAATTTATCCAAATACTGTTGAAGAGATTTACTGTCAATTACATTTGTTATTTAGCAAAATATTTTTTTTAATCCTTCTCTAACATGTTCATATAATTTTGTAATATATAAGGTAAGCTATTTAGAGAATTTGAAAAACATCCGAGGGACGCACAGAGCCCTGAGGAACTTCACTGTTGATGCTCATCACACAGAATATTTTCCTCTGTGTCTCTGATCTATTGTTGTAATAATTCACTTTTTATTCCTTTGTTTATAGTTTCCAAATTATTCTCTCATGTGTGTGTGTGTGTGTGTGTGTGTGTGTGTGTGTGTGTGTGTGAGCGCGCGCGTGCGGGGTGGCATTTGTTCGCCTGTATGTTTGTCCACGCTTTTTTTTTTTTTAATATCGGTATTGTGTTACTGGTGACAAACCTATCCATCAAAACATGAAACTTGACACCATTTCGGAATATTAAATAACCAGGCGGAACACTTTGTCATTTGACGTGTATTCAACCACTAAATGAAAGTTTTTACCAATATGGAGAGTGACAGAAACTCAAAAATCTAATCACACCCGGTTAATAATATAGTTTTAAAAGAAATTCTGTTCCCCCCTCTTTCTCCTCTTATACCACACCCCACCCTTCTACCTTCCCTTCCTTCCTCTCTCTCCTCTCTCTCTCTCTCTCTCTCTCTCTCTCTCTCTCTCTCTCTCTCTCTCTCTCTCTCTCTAACTCCTTGAATTACTGAGGTAATCCTCCGAGTTTATGTTTATCTGTAATGTTGTGTAAGATCCGAGGTTGTATTCGTGCATGTGGTATGTTTACAACTGTCTACATAAGCGCTTTTGTACATATATCTGCCTTGTATACTCCTGTTCTCAGCTTGTACATGTATCTGCATGAATATACCCTTGTTTACGCGTGTTTTCAGCGTAAGCTTATATCTGCATTAGAGTGACTAGAAGACGTATATTTACAGTGTTTGTATTTGTATACGTGAGTGCTATGTGTACATATGTCTGCATAAGTGCATGTGTGTGCATGTATGTGCCTGTGAGTGCATTAAACCGTCTCCTTACAATAATCTAAGAATGAATTATTATGTATTTGCACTAATGTTTTTTTGTTGTTGTTGTTGTGCCCGTTCATCTTGTCCTAACCCCACCTCCACAACCACAACCTCCTCCTCCTCCTTTTCCTCTCTCCCCTCCTTCTCTCCTCCCTCCATAGTCTTACTCATGAATTCGTCCTGATCTTCAGCCTCGGCTTCAGCAGCAAGTTCCTCTGGCGTCTTTTTCTTCCTCATGAGTGGGTTGTCTGGCATGGCTGGCTCCTCTAGCACGATGTCCTCCTTCTTCTTGATCTGGTACTGTAAGACAAAGCCAGGGTCAGAGAACCGTCTCGAACTCATAAATTAAAAGTTAAATGTACATAACAATAGCAGTGGGAAAATAATCCTTAGTAGTTTAAAAACCGATTTCTAACTCTTACTCTGCTTAATCATCTTCTGCAAGACATAGCCAATGCTTCGTTTCATAGCTACGAACACACACTTTTAAAAATACACAAAGTGATATCAAAATGGCCTAAAAAAGATAAAGAACATTATATATGAACGTGTGTGTGTGAGTGTGAGTGTGAGTGTGTGTGTGTGTGTGTGTGTGTGTGTGTGTGTGTGTTAGGGTATATGCTCACATTTGTCAAAGGAATATAAATGAGGTTCTATATAAGAAAGAGAATAATATCTGAAGAAGTATTACAGCAAAAACAATAATACTTGACTCTCAATAATTCTTGACTATTATTAATACTCTACTATAAATAATATTTACCTATCAACAAAACTTGGCAGTTTAACAATAATCAAAAGAACGGCAGAAATTATTTACAATATAAGGAGTCAGAGGCATCTTGAAATACGGGAGATCAAGTACTCACGCGAGACATTGTGTCCCAGAATGACGTTCATCAGTGACGTGGGACTGTAGTTCTTGTGTGCTGTTGTCTTCTTTTTTATGTTAACGTTTATGTGACTAAAACTGAAACCATTTAACACTGATGGATGACTTGTTTTTATCAGTTTGACTTTCTTTGTTGTTTACAACTAGCGCACATTCTGGTGACAAGTCTTGACATAGCTTTTCGCTCTGACCTCGATCATAATCATTTCGCGACAAGATAATTATTAAAAACGCACCGAAAAGTTGTCTGAAGATTTATTTCCAATTTTTGTGTCATTGTGAATTGTATCTCTCACGGTACAGGAATTTTGTTCCAATACCGTGACATGCGTTCAATGCATCTAAATATTCTTCTCACCTAAAAGGTGAGCAGAATGTTTAGATGTTATGTACTAACTGAGAACAGGAAACGAGGAGATATTCAAAACTAGGTTTAGCCAGACTTGCAAATCGATGGAGGAAAAGATTTCTGCAGAGAGCAAGGAATGGGAGAGACGAGCTGAGGCAAAGGTACAGAGCCTAGAGGAGAAATTGAAGGAGCTGATGTGTGAAGTTTAGCAGGGAAAGGAAAGGGGCAATGAGATGGGAGCAGCAACATCAATTGCAGGAAATGGGATTGAAGGAAGGGGAAGAGCTAAGACAACAAGTGCAGGAAATGATAATGGGAACAGTAAAGAAGTTGCTCAAATCGAATTCAGAGGTATGTAGGGAAAGAAAGTGGGAAGAGAGAGAGACAGAGGTCACTGATTATATACAAGGGCTTTGGTAGAAAGAAGAGAGTACCTGTGATAGAATGCAACAGGCAGAGGAACAAGGAAGTTTTGTCTCAGATGACAATATTTTAGACACGGAAAGTACTTAAAGGGAAAAAGTCGTCCAGTCTAAGAGACCCCTCATGGCAAAATTCGTTCTAGACAGGATCGTGGAGCAGAAACCATGGTTAAGGGACTCGGAAAAAATATAGTTGGGTGTACCTTGACTGAGACAAAACAAGAAAGGAATGAGAACAACAGAGAGATGGGTACAAAGATGCGAGAGGCAGAAAGGAGAGACAGGCATGGAAGCTTAACCTCCAGAGCACCAACAAGCACATCCACCCCCAGAACATCCCTTAAATTAACCCCTAACCTACACTCCAACTCAAACACAATAACCCATAACAAACCCACTCTCAAACCATACCCCTGGCCGGGATTGAGTCAAACCCACTCTCCACACCCACAGCCCACATTCCTCCCAATACAAATATCTTCCTCACAGTAGCCTCTTACAAAATCTTTTCCCCCTTCCACACAATCCCCAAATGGCACCAACCACTTCCATCCCCTGAACCATGGGCAGGGATCAGGAATCCAGAAAACCATGAACCAGAACACAGTAATGGTGAGGAAGCTGAAGGAATGGTATACCTGTGCAGATGGAATAACAAATAAGAGTGGGAAGTGGCATAAACGTATCATGGAGGCATCCCCAGACATTATAGCACTCACGGAGATAAAACTCATTAAGATATCAGATGCGATCTTCTGGAGTGGCTATCAGCTCCTCAGGAAAGACAAAGGGAGCGGAGGAGGATTAGCACTGCTCATCAGAAACTAATAGAATTTTGAGGAGATGGAAGGAATGGGCAGAGAAGCAGATGGCAATTTAGTATGCACACTTAAGAACGGGGGTCCCAAGGTGGCGACAGCAGTGATGTACAATTCTCCACTAACTAGCAAGAGGCCAAGATATACCATTGCTCCATAGCAATGGTGGATACACTAGCAGAGATGCCCAGAAAGGCCCTCGCGATCAGGGAAAAAGCTACTAGTCAGTGATGACCTTAACCACATGGAGATTGACTAGGAGAACCTAAAACCACATGGGGGACCAGAACAATGGAGGCGTAAGATGCAGGAGGTAATATGGAGAACTTCATGCACCAACGTGTTAGGAATACAACCAGAGAGAGAGAAGAGAGAGGAGAGATGAGAGAGGAAGATGGAGAGATGAGAGCAACGAGAGGAGAGAAACAGAGAGAGAGAGAGAGAGAGAGAGAGAGAGAGAGAGAGAGAGAGAGAGAGAGAGAGAGAGAGAGGATGAACCAATGAGACTGGATCTTGTATTCACTCTGAGTGGTACCAACATAGGGAATGTTACACGTGAAAAGACCCTTGACGCTAGGCATAACATTGTTCTAAGTTTTGAACGCCTTGTGGAATTTTTAGTAGAGAGTGAAGCAGCAAGGAAAGGAGGTGAGAAGACAAACTTCAAAAGAGGGAACTACATAGCCATGATGCAATTTCTGTTTGAGGGAAATACAGTGACTGGGGTGATGGAGCATATTACCCAAAAGTGAAGAGAGGCAGAGGAGTTCATACCCAGGAGTAATAGAAACAATGGGAAGATCATAATAAGCCCATGGTTTACCCAAAAGTGTAGAAAGGCGAAAGCCAAATGTGCTAGAGCATGGAAAAGTACAGAAGGCAAAGAACACAGGAAAACAAGGAATTGAGCCGAAGAGCCAGAAACGAGTATGCATGTATAGGGAGTGAGGCTCAACAGCAATTCGAGAATGACATAGCTTCGAAAGCCAAATCCGACCCAAAGTTATATAGCCACATCACGAGAAAGACAGTAGTCAGGGACCAGGAAATCAGCTGAAGAAGTAAGTTGGGGAGTTCACATGAACAACCAGGAAGTCTGTGAAGGGGTCAGTATTAGATTATGGGAAGTATTCTCAGTGGTACTGGTCAGTGATACAGACTAGTAACACTGACACATATAGTATACAAATTTGTGGAGAAGATTATCAGAAGAGAGTGGTGGAGCACCTAAAAAGTAACGGGCTCATACATGACAACCAGCACGGCACGGTAGTTCTACGACAAGGTGACAGGAGAGGGAGGGATGGGTATATTGCTTTTTCGTGAACATTAAAAAAGCTTTTGATAGTACCGCACAAGAGACTCGTACAAAAGCTAAAGGAGCAGGCAGGAATAACAGGAAAAAACACTAAAATAAATCAAGGCAAACCATACAGGAAGCAAATACGTGATAGTCAATGACGAGATGTCGAAATGGGTGCATGTGACGACTGGGGTTCCGCAAGGATCAGTCCTAGGGCCAGTGCTCTCTTCTTTATGTAAATGACATGACTAAACGGATAGTCAAATGTACCTCTGTTCGCAGATTACGTGAAACTAATGAGGAGAATGCAAGCGGAAGAGTACCGAGAAATACTACAAACAGATCTGTGTCGACAGGCTACAAGCCTCGTCTCGGAAATCTTCTGGAGTCTAACCTCACTAAATGTAAATTTATGAACCTTTGGGTTGGACAAAAAAGACCGCAGACGGAGTGCTGGCTCGGGGGGAGGGGGGAGGGATGAGGACACAAAGGCAGCAAACTTCACTCATAGAAAAGAACCTGCGGGATGAATATCATACCGAGCACCTCAGAAGTGGCACATCAACCAAATAATTGTTGCGGTAAATACGATTCAAGCAGATCTAAGAACAGCTATTCGACACCTAAGGAGTCATTCATGATACTGTGTACGTTAGTCCCATACTGGGGCACGCAACACCAATATGCAACCTACACCCGGTCAAGTATAAGAAATTGGACAAAGTGCAGAGGTTTGCAAGAAAACTAGTCCCAACGCTAAGGGGTGTGTCCTGTATAAGGAGGTTAAGGAAGCTTTAGCTGATGACACCGGAGGACAGGAGGACTAGGGGGAGGATATGTTAATGACGCACAAAATAATGCAAGGAACTGACAAGATCAATAAAGACAGAATGTTTATGAAATGGGAAATAGAAACAAGAGGGTACAGTTGGGAGGTGAAAACTTAGATGAGTCACAGAGATGTTAGGATGTATTTCTTCAGCTTTAGAGTTGTTAGGAAGTGAAAGAATGTGGAGAGTGAAGTGGTAGAGACGTGGCCCATACATAGTTTTAGGAAGCGGTACAACAAGTCTCTTGAAGCCGGAAGTGAGTGGACCTAGTAGCGACCAGCGAAGAAGAGTGGCTAGGAGCTGTGACTTGACCCCTGCAACCACATGTAGGTGAGTACATATAGGCGAGTACACACACACGAACACAAAGAAGTCAGACAACACACACAGTTCCGACGAACACACAGTGCTCTGCCAACGCACTTATATAGGACAGGCAACACATTTTTCAAGCAACACGCGTGCACATATCAGGAAAAAATTTCAGGCAACACACGGTCACAGGCAACAAACTACACAAGCAGCCCATACACAGACAAAAGATGTATACAGCTTAAGCAGAAAACATACAGAGGCAACACAAGTATATAACACAGGAAACACAGGCATGCAGAGGCAACACACCTATGCCGCCCAGGCAACACAGACAGCACACGTATACCGCCCAGACAACACAGACAGAGGCA